CGGGTTGTGAATACCTGGATATTTGGGCCCAAATGATAAGTCATGGATGATATGGCTCACATTGACATGAGTAGAACCTCCAAAAATCTGCAGTAGTTAAAAACAGATACAAACAGGAGTAAGCAAAAAACAAGAAACATTTCAAATCTGATTTATATAAGAACTTCCAATAAACTAATTCCTAAAGGTCATTATTTTCAAGTCTATTATAATTTTAGCATCTTCCAACTAGAAACCTCCAAAGATCGCTGTTTCATACATAAATAGAAAAGAAAGTTAAATGGAGTAGTCAATATCTTTTAACAGGTTGAGTATCATTGCAAAAATCACACCATAAAAGAACATAGAATCCACGAGAGCTAACCATTTGAGCAACAAAAATATTCAGCCCATGAACAGATATATGGAAATTCCCAGCAACGCGTTGGACATCCAAAACACCATAGACCTGCAATAAACAATACAATTATAATTGCTTATTTAGTCCAAGTGGTATAGCTTGATACTTCCAAGGATAAGGTATGAATCTCCAAACCTTTTTCCTAATCTTATTCTGAGGCATAAAGGAGAAGAGAGAAGGATAACAAATATAATAATAAACCAAAAATGAAAGAGGCACATACTCTGCATCCCTCCCCATTAGCCAATGCTTGCTTAACCTTCTTAATCATATTTTCAGCATCTTGATCGAACCCTTGCAGATGGGTTTTGTTATCCGAATCTTCATGATGGTCTTTGTGGTCATCTGGTTAAAGTTGTCACTTAGAACCATGTTATTAAACATATGGTATATTTTTATCCAACAAAAAGCATAATGAAATTTCACTAATGTGAAGTCACAAAAAGTTTATACGAGAGTCAGAGCAGAACAGGAAGACATTACCATGTTTATGTTCCTTTTCCACAAGGTCTGACAAATACTCAGTTCCAGTAATATGGCCATCACTATTCAAGCGAAGCTGCAAAAACTCTCAACCATTAAGCAAAGGCTATGCGCCTTTTATTTTATTTTTAAGATTTTAACTAAATAAAATTAAATAATATATTTTTTATTTTATTTTAAAATTTTCCTAAATAAAAACAAAAACTTAATTAAAGTCCTTCATGAAAAATATTTAAATCATTTCTCTATTTAAATACACTTATTGTAAAATGAAGCTTAATATTGTCTTTTCTCGTAATTTGACATCCAAAAATACTTTTTGGAAAGATTGGCCAAACAAAATCTATTTATCAAAAACTAAAAAAACACTTCTCAAATGAATTGGTCAAACACAAACTACTCCCCAAAAGTACTATTCAGAAAAGCAATTTTGACAAAAGTACTTCTCAAAATAAGCAGTTTTTAGAAGCTTGGCCAATCATGCTCTAACTACAATAGGATCAATGTATCTTCAGCCTCGCATAAAAGCATGGTACCTATAGTACTGCAATTTGCAACTTATAACTATAAAATCTAAACAAATACACATCAATGACAGGTTAGTAGGATTGGCTACATGAATCCTCTGCACCTATTCAGAATTAGGTCCATTCCAATACTAGGTATTTGTCTTTTAATGCAAATTAGGGGTTCACAAAAGCTAGAGGTTTTCTAAATCTCACAGCTAATCCTAAACAGACATACAAGTCTCTAACCAGAAAAAAAGATTTCTCACAAACATCGGATTGTCATAAACAAAAACAACTAGCCTTAATCCAAACCATTGTTATTGCCAACTGTTTTCAGTGTAACTTGTAACCATAAACACTCAAAATATTTTTAATAGTTCAGTTCTCTTCAGATGCTAATATGTGACTAAAGCAACTAGCCAACTTAAATATGCCAAACATGTCTGGCAGAAGATACAAGGGTGAATTACTAAGTGAAAACAGAATCACTGATTTCATTGTCATACCCCACCACTGCTGCATCTTATCCCTCCCACCCTAAAACAAACACGGAAAGGAAAAAAATCTAAGAAAGATATTATTACCAGATTAAGTCTAATAGTAGTTGCTAGTGAAAGTACGGTTAACATACTACAAGCTAAGGTGTTATGCATCATCTTGTCATGCGAAACACGGTCACTTTCTTTTCAATTTAATGGGCAAAGCACCTTTTTTTTTTGTTAAAGGTAAGGCAGAGCACAAACTTTCTCAATTCAAAAAGACCAGTTACCTTCCATATGTTTGTATCAAGGTCTACTTCATGCTTCCCCGACATATCAATTGCATCCACACTTAGAACTACCACGGTTGAAGAAATTAGTCAATGTCTGAAGCATTTAGATACTAGATATTTACAACAAAAAAAATGAAACCTTAAAGAGTGTAAGCAAACATAAGACCAGAAGGGGGATCATTTTCTTTACCATCACAAGGTAAAGAGGGGAATGTCATATTGATGTGTATGGGTAGAGTCTCTCCACGTCTCAAGTCAACAGCCATCTGCAAAAGCATAAGTCAGAGCAGAAACCTTTAAACAACTCTTAAGTGGGATAGAAAAGCAGCATTGAAGAGGAGGAAAACCTGATGAACTGTATTTGTGCTAAGATAGTAACTCAGTTCATGCAAAAATAGTGTTGCCATGATAACCAGCCCCACAATGGAAACTTGTGAGAGAAGAAAACAAAGGAGTAAAGTTAGTAAAGAATCAAACTAAAAGAAAAAATTGCAGAATAGAGTAAGCATGATATCTTCTAAATGTCAATTCAAAATTAGCGCCAACTGAAGTAACCAACAACCATCGCAGTTCAGTACCATTCCCTATGCACTTGACTAGGCGCAAGGAGCAACTTTTGACAAAAGTGCAGGAAAACGTTTATAGAATCAGCAACCAAGGAATGACCAGACGTAGCATCAATAACTTTAATGAAGAAAAAAAACATCTCCAAAAGTCATGGCAGGTCTAAATATAGTTTATGATCAACTAACTATGAGGAGTTTAGTTGAAAACATATGCGGCACAAACATGAACTAGCACTTAGATATAAAGACACAACACATTTAAAGAAATACAGAAACGATTCAGAATACACAACCTAGCATTTTGTAGCATATAGCTTGACAGTCACTCTAAAGGAAATACCGGGCATCTGAAGTTCAGTTACGTAACTGGCCCTGGTACCTACATTTTCCATATATCTACGGGGTAATTATCATTTAATTCTTTTACATTTTACATGGTATCCCGTGGTAAAGGTGCTCTATATGTTAAACATATGATGCATGTACATTGATCAGTTAGCTTCAGTCCTTATTCAAAAATAATACAGGGAGTATGGAGATAATAATAATTATAACAATACCAAAGGCGCCAGATTTAGTCTTCTGTAACAAATGATCTTCCGCACGTGGAAAAGCATCCAGGGCTTTTAGAACTTGCTTCACCCCCATCTCTTCTCTATATTTTCCTCTCAATTTTATAATACTGCAACCAATCAATCAACTATGTCTCAATTCAAAAGGGATTTTAGAAGACTGCCATACAAAAATGAAATAACGTTCGAGATTAGATCAAAGCTAAAAATCAGACATCCCTGGGGAAGAAAAAATCATAAAATTTAAGAAAATTCAGCGATGTGAGGAGTTGTAAATTGTAGAGAGAGAAAGTACCTTGATAGGAGAGAGAAGGAGAGAGCAGGCCGCGGGAGGAAAATCCGATCTCTGATACTTCTCCGAGGGAAAACGACGACGACAAAGATCCTTCGAGAGACTAAGCAAGACTTTGTTTTCCTATTGGGTTTGGGCCTTTTGGGTTTGAACCGGGTGAAATGCACATAAAGTCGTTATTTTTTATTTTTTTTTTGGGTGAAATTCAAAAATAGCCACAATTTCAAAAGTAATCAAAATTTTGTCACTTTTCATGTAAAGATAAATCTGAACGAAAACACTATTCAAGATCCGAAAAATATTCCAACATAATATACTATTCGAATTTTTTATATGTGAACTTCCAGCATAATATACTGGAGTTATACTAGAACTCCAGTATATTATGATGGAGTTCCACTATAACTCCATCATAATATACTGAAGTTCCAGCATAATATGCTGGAAGCTCCAATCTCCAGTATATTATACTGGAACATTTTGTGTGCTGGAGTTCCAGTATAATATGCTGGAAATTCATACACGTGTGCATCAATCTCCAGTATATTATGCTGGAACTTTCCGTGTTGCAGCAAAATAGTTGCTATTTTTCAATGACTTTGTAAACACTAGCTATTTTTATTTACCAATCCGAAAACTGGCTAGTCCGTGCTATTTTTACCTGTTTTTAGGACCGTTAGTTATTAAAGAATAGATAAAATTTACAAAGTATTTAGTTTTTAGCCATCCAGAATGGGTGAAGTACACAAATAGACCTCATAAGTGGATCTTGAATTTTTATCCTTGCTTGCATGGGAGGCACTTCAAGTTTAATAAGTGTTGGCCTCTCACTTGCTCTATGTGCAATACTTTTAACTTTTGACTTTAAAATTCTGCCGATAAGGCAAGTGAGAGTTAAAGATCACCCCCAAAAAGTGTCATATTTTTGTAATTTTTTTATCCCGAATCAAACTTCAAACCTTGGATATGAAAGTTTCAATTGCGTCCAGAAAATTCATATTTTCATACCTTCGGCTGGAAGTTAGCTTTCGCATAGCATATAATTTCATACTCGAGGTCGAGGGTCGGGAAAAGAAGAAAAAGAAGCAACCACGGGTCTGAAGTTTGCCAATTTTAAAACTAATTATATCTAAAAGTTGTTACATGATGCTATTTCTACATTGAATCCTGGAAGCCAAATTATTAATGGCGAAACCATAGAATGCCATGACTATCATTAAAGCTTACGGTCTAGAAGTAATAATAGGATTTTCGTTAGAGAACGGGTGTGTTTAATTCTAAAAGTATTTCCTCTCCCTTTTCCAATTTCATCTAAATGCTTGACACTTTCGGAATACTTAATTTATTCAATCATATTTATATCTATCTATCTATATCAATATCTATATCTATCTATCATTCTATCTATATTATTTATCTATATTATTATAAAAACACGAATAATTTATGCTAAATGTTGAACGACTAAAATAACCTTGAAATATTGATCGACTTTTATGACCTTAATTATTCGTATAATTTAAGGATATAATTGCAAATTACCTGAGGCTGATTTTTCTTTCCATTTAAACTACGCATACATTAATGCTACATAGCTGACTTTGGGTCAAATTCTTTTTCTTTGCGGCATACTTCTTCTATCCTACTTTTTGTTGGATATATGGCCGATTTGGTTTCTACATAGCTCAACTTTTTTTTTTGTAGCCTTTTCCTTTTTTTACAACAATATTTTTTCTTATTTAATCTTCTCCCATAGAATTCAACTTACTCACGGCCAACTTTTTTTTGGTAGCCTTTTCCTTTTTTGACAATAATATTTTTCCTTATTTAATCTTCTCCCATAGAATTCAGCTTAATTGCACGAATCCATGTAGGAAAAGAATAAGCCAGTTATTCCTATAAAAGATGATATTGTTTCACATTGTTCATTGTTCTCTAAATGTTTTGGTGTAGAACGAAGCAATTTTCTCCAAAGGTATTATTAGTTCCTCTCTATTGTTTCCGTTTTTCGTAATTGAGTAAGTTCCTATTTTTCGTAATTGAGTAATGCTTTAGGGTCATGTATATGAATTAGAGAGAAAAACAATGACATCTTAACTTTTATTGTAATTGTTTTTGTGTCGTACTTCTTTATTTTTCGGCGTGATTTTTAGTTTTAGATATCAAAGTCTTTTACATTGACGTAGTAACAACAACAACAATAACAACAACAACAACAACAACAACAATAACAACAACTCAGTAAAATCCCACTAATAGGGTCTGGGGAGGGTAGCGTGTACGCAGACCTTACCCCTACCCCGAAGGAGTAGAGAGACTGTTTTCGAAAGACCCTCGGCTCAAAAAAATACAAAGCAAAGGGAGACAATATTAGTAAATATTAGTATCACCACAACAATCATAAGAAAAATATGAACACCATGAAATCTAGAAGAAAGATGCAAAGAAAAAGCGATAGCTAGTAAATAGGACATGCACTGAAAAGCGAAATAGTAAGCCACAACATTGCCACTAGCTATCTTAGACAAAAATCCTACATGGCTAGTCCCACAATGGTACGAAGTAAGGCACGACTCAACTACCTCCTAACCTACAACCCTGATATTCGACCTCCACATCTTCCTATCAAGTGTCATGTCCTCGAAAATCTGGAGCCTCGCCATATCCTGCCTGATCACATCTCCCCAATACTTCTTAGGCCGCTCTCTACCTCTTCTCGTACCCTCCACAACCAGCTGCTCACACCTTCGTACCGGAGCATCTGGGCTTCTCCTCTGAACATGTCCGAACCATCTAAGCCTCGCTTCCCGCATCTTGTCATCAATGGGAGCCACATGCACCTTCTCCCGAATATCATCATTCTTTATATTGACGTAGTATTATGTTTAAATTGTATATATTTAGAGATTAATGGTTTGTGTTATTTCAACTAATGTTAGTGTAAGAATATTAATTTTCAGCTATTACATAATATTTTGTAGCTTTTACTTATATATTACAGGTATTTCGCGCAGTGTAATGGAATCGAATTTTGACACACGTGCCAAAAGTAATAAACAAATTAATTCAAGTCAATACACAAGAAACAAACAAGAAAAAAATCTAAGAAACACGCAACATAGGTTTCACATATTGACTATATGAGACCAAATATTTGTCCTCCTTCGTACAGTTAAAAGACACAAAACGAATCAAATTTTCATGATTCAATCAATTAAGTCTTTGCATATGTATGAAAGTCTTCCTTGTACATTTTCTCCATTTAATTAAGAAAAGTATAGTGATAAGAAAATGTATTAGCTAATAGTAAAAATATTTTTTGTATCTTAAGGTGCATGGCATTAACACTTTCCCGGTAATTAGTATATTCACAAATTTTATGTTAGTTATTACGCACGTCTATTGTTACACGTGCGAGGTACGTACATAGAGACTAGTATTATTATAAAAAGTATGAATACAATGTCGGTTTACAGAAATAACCTTATAATATTAAGCATAATAACTCATAATAACTCATAATAAAAGGACATAACCGGAATCCTAGATATTAGACCTTTAGACTTATAATCCTATTAGTTTTAGGACATAATACTATAGGTTAGGAATCCTACATGATTACCTTTAGGAATCCTATTAGTATAATTACTTTCGGGCTATCTAATTCATTTAAAGTTGAACAAGTAAATATCTTTAGTCATGTAATCCTATTACTTTTAGGATATACTTCTTAGAAACTTCTATTACTAATTTAATTTGAAAACATATTATAATGTCCTATTACTAATTTAACTTGAGAATGTATTATATTGTCCAAATTTATTTTGAAAAAAGAGAGCATATATTATTATAAAAATATAAATATAATATTAATATATCAAAATAGCCCTAAGAACTCGTAGGAAGAGGACATAACTGCAATAACCTATTTTTGGACTACAGTACCTTCTATGCTAATTTTTAATATTTAATATTTTAAAATTAATAAAATTTTATCTATTAAATTATTATTAAAAATATGTAGGAAGGTTTAATAAAACCAATTTCATAAGAATTCTCCGTATTGGCAATACATTACCACTCCATAATGTCCAATACTAAGAAAAAAAAAAAGTAATACTAAATGGACTACATAAAGAGTTGAAATTGAGAAAAAAAAAATACTCCCACGATAATATATTTTTATATTATATTTGTACTATTTTTCTACTCGAATAATATTTTTTAATTAATTTTTTGTGTAATATTGAAAAATATCCAATTATTAAACAACAACTAATAAAATACTTAAGAATATAAATGTGTGAGAAAGAGAACAAAAAATGGTTGGTAAGAGTCAATACCACTAATGATTCTATAAACATAAAGATCTAAAAGTGAAATGTCATATAAATCTTGTACTATTTGAAAATAAAATTTATGGTGGATAAAATTATAATTAAGATTAAATATTCAAAACAAGAAATGAACTAATATTAAGATCTGAATCAACATAGAATAAATTATTTTTTATGTAAAAACTAAATAATTAAATTTTTTATTAATTATTTAGCAAGAGAATCCAATTCAATTATTTTTTAAATTCATCATATGAGTAAAATTCTTATTCAAGTTTAAAAACATCTTAGGGTACATAAATTTATTTCATAAAAAGAGCGTTAGAACACAAAGTAAAAAGGTTAGTATATTATTAAGAATCAAAATATTATACAAGTGTATGAGGAAGCACAATCAAAACTAAATCATGAACAAGAACAAGCTTTCAATACTATATTATAAAGAGTCGACTCTGCTATAACGAGATTATTCTTTGTAGATGCCTCTAGCGGAATTGAAATAATATTATCATGCCATGTATTACTTGCAAATATCATATCAAGAGCCATGACATTGTTAGCAATAATATCAAGTGGTGTACCAACAACGATTTTATTATGAGGCCACCTATTTTAGATTTGATATATCTCTTTAAACAACTTAAATAACCATCACAAATATATCAATGTAGAGCAATGGTGTTAAATTTATAAGGAAAGCAAAATTGATAATATGGGATGAAGCACTTATGGCTAAGTGTCAAATGATAGAAATAATTGCCTAGAGTTCTAGAGATATATTAGATATTAATGAACT